TCCAAAGATAAATCCCAGCATGTTTTTACTGCTGTATACAGGTCATGTCGTAATCATAAAATTTGAAATCAAATGTTCACCATTTTTCCAAATCACAATTTCAATTGCGAGTTTTGGTCTTATTACCTCACCAATAATTCCAAAACACACATGAAGTGATCAATGTAGTAGTTCACATCTTATGGATCGCCAACTTAGAATTTACAGCCAGCTACTAATGTCAGACAATTACAACATTTTGTCCAGTTTTCGAATATCACCATTTTTTGGAGAAGTTTATTTTAATTTTAGACAAAATCCTGACAAAATCATGCAATATCTCAGAAAAATAACAGTGTTCCAGATGAAATTACTTCTAGCCAAGGATTGACTAGAGACTAGAGTGAAGTGTGGCCATACATGTAGAATATAAATAAGACACTCTTTGTTGTTTTGAATTTGCCTTTAAATTGCCCAGCTGGGCTTTTTATTGAAAAGTCAGACTCTTAAGGTGATAACACACTTGAAACTTATGATGTCACCTTGCCTGATACATAATGATTTCAAACTAGAATTAGATTGTGCAGGTGGCCAAGTAGTGATTGCTTCAATTGACTATAAGTGTTGAAGAAGAGTCAGACTGTAAAGGTGACAACACACTTGAAACTCTTGATGCCACCTTGCACTTTCGTTGTGTGAAACATTTCTGACAATCATCACATTTGAATGGTTCCTCTCCAGTATGAATCCTAAAATGCCATTTTAAACTGTGTTGTTGGGTGAACAATTTCTGACAATGATCACATTTGAATGGTTTCTCTCCAGTATGAATCCTAAAATGCCATTTTAAACTGTGTTGTTGGGTGAAACATTTCTCACAATGTTCACATTTGAATCGTTTCTCTCCACTATGAGTCCTAATACTGTAAAACGGGTATTGTTAGCGAGGGGTAATTGTTAGCGATCGCTATAGTTTCGCTAAAAATTCAATTCGCTAAAATAAACCGGGGTTAAAATAAACAGGGCACTAAAATTTGCAAAGTCCTGGGAAACTACATGAAACTAGTATTAAAGGAGCTTTTCGTTTAGTGTTCGACTTCTGGTTTGTAATTTGAAAAAGGTAAATATTTTTAAATCGTATGTTTCTTTCAATATCTGAAAGATAAATAGCCATCCATCAGTGAAATGGTGTTAGTAGTAAATATAAAGTCTTACATTTTGATAATTCCTCTGTCATGTCCTTTATTCATTCTTCTGCCATAAATGATAAAATTTCTAATGCATTTCGCTAATTTGATTTTTTAAAGATTAATCTTCATTTCGCTAAAATTTCCCGCGCTAAAACCCCCTAAAATTGAAAAATCACTAAAATTTCCCGGTGTCAAAATTACCCGTTTTACAGTATGCTCTTTCAAAGTGGATTCTTGTATGAAACACTTTCCACAATGATCACATTTGAATGGTTTCTCTTGAGTATGAATCCTGATATGCTACTTCAAAACTTTTTTAAGCATGAAACATTTCTGACAATGATCACATTTGAATGGTTTCTCCCCAGTATGAATACTAGCAGCATAAACATCATCACCATTGCTCAGAATCATTTCATACAACCATCTATGAATGGAGATCTTAAAGACAGTATTTGTGCAATAGAATTTTTAGTTAACTATTGAACTCAAGAGTTGCCGATTTAACAGTAATTTAGGTACTGCATATAAAACAGTAATAGCAATATGTTTTGAATGTAAAAAAGTTATATAAGACATTGATTAAGCTAGAAATGTAAATATAGAAGAAATACATGGCAGCCATTTTGTAAAATTACGATTTTTGCTGTAACTTGAAAAGCAGTGGAGCGATTTTGTTTATATTTGGTAGGTGAATACTTTAAGCATGGCACACTGTCTAATGACAATTTTGGGTAGTAGGCGGCCTACCCATCTCCTCCCCCTATCCCTTTCCCTCCCCTTATGCCCTCCCCCTATGCCCTCCCCTTATGCCCTCCCCTTATGCCCTCCCCTTATGCCCTCCCCCTATGCCCTCCCCCTATCCCTCCCCCTATGCCATCCCCCTATCCCTCCCCCTATGCCCTCCCCCTATCCCTCCCCCTATGCCCTATCCCTCCCCTATCCCTCCCCCTATGCCCTCCCCTGTCCCTCTCCCCCTTTCCCTGAGAGAAAGGGAGACAGGGGGAGGGAGACAGGGGGAACACATCCCTCCCCCTGCCCCCCCCTGTCCCTCTCCCCCTTTCCCTGCCATGGGAAGATGGTGACTTACAGGGTTTGGGTCAATGGCTTCAGGAGTAATTTTGGAGAGCTGTTCATATAGGTCACATCCTTCCTTGGACAACTCTCCCAAACTACCTCTTTACCCAATTTGACCCTCCCTGTAAATCACCTTCCCCAATGGACAAAATTTTCCCATGGACACCCAAATCCCAGACACGGGAACACGAGCTATGAATAGACCCTAGTCAAGCTACAGAACACCTCTTAAAACAATCATTGGTGTACCGACTCGCTATGACTAGACCCCAGTCAAGCTACAGAACACCTCATAAAACAATCATTGGTATACTGAGCTATGACTAGATCCCAGTCAAGCTACAGAACACCTCATAAAACAATCATTGGTGTTCTGAGCTGCTGTGTTCCCATCACCCTCTCCAGTGGACACCCCAATCCCAGACACGAGCAGTGTCAGGTCAAAAGAAAAGGTTGGTTTTACCAAGGGAAAGATCAATACCCGGTGATTTCAGCGGGAAGTGGCGTTTCGTATAGTGGATTAGCTGCGCGCGCACGCATAAATGTGATTATCCAATATATTTAGGGGAGGGCTATTTGAAATAGTTTTTGGTCTCAGGCGCGACCCAGGGCTGTTGTCTTAAGGACATTTAGTTGAAAATGAGCCATTCGGCTGATAATTGGTAAGAGTTTGCGATCTTATAATGTATAACTGTTACCCAGACACATATTTTGACACGAATCTGTTGGAAATAAGCTTTGAACCGAGAGATATTCACGATTGATATGCACATTTTTGATTGTGCCATTGCTTTTCCATTGCACAGTCCATGTATTGATAGAAGTAACATTAATAATGCAGATTGGTTTACCATCAATACATGGCAAACACTACATATCGGTCTATTAAATACCAGTTTGTGTCTTAAATAGTTTTATATTTCCATCCATGGCCTGAAGTCCGGTAGAAATACAGAATATTTAAACATCAAAGTTGAAAGTTAAAAGCTAATCTGTCAATTTTCTGTCTGCAAAAGAGCGTTTACATTTGACACAATAACAGACTGAGGCTTTGAAATCGAGGATTCCCCATGAAAATATGACGTCATACTAATTAGCATAAGGATTTCCTTATTGGTCTGGGTCGAGCCTTGTTCGAAAACACAATCCATAAATACATGCTAATTTCTAAGGAGATAGGAAGTGTATAACGTGTTTATCGATTTTGTTTAAAGATTTAATCAATTATCAAATTGTTGAAGTGGATAAAGTGGTCACACTTGCTTCAATTCATAGCGTAATCGACGGATAGAAACTGACCGAATTCCCGATATCCTACCCCGTATTACTGTAGGCTATTAAGCACAGTGACCTACAGAGGGCGCTATCACAAACAAGTACTGCATGAACCGATAAATTCCCGGGTATTGTAACGCCCTTGGTTTTACCCAGCCACTGTCAGTGATCTGACATATCAACCATGTCTAAGCTCTGCCCAGCCTGACACAAGCTCTGACTAGACCCTAGTCGAGCTCCAGAACACCTCATAAAACAATCATTGGTAAACTGAGTTGTAGGCTTCATATTGGACTGTTTGGAGACAAGGTAATTTCAAAATTCAGAAGTAATGGTTTTAACTTTTTAACTTTAAGATATGTTTTTCAGCTTTTTAGTTAGAGGCAGTGAAAAATATAATCATCAAAAAACACAAATTTTAACATTGCAATTTTCTGAATGTGATGAATCACTTTATTGGTTAAAATGTAGTAGGATTGATTTAATAATATCATTTATTGCTTGCCTGGTCATTCAATCTGGGTGATTTAGCAGGGTACATGTTTCTTGTATCAAAATGAAGAGGTGAAGAATTAAACTAATAAACTCCTTCTTAAATTGGCTAATTTCGTGCTTTAAATGAAAGTGTCAAAAATATCCAATAACTGAGTGTACAAATTGGTTGGAACTTTTCTGTATTAAATATCTAAAAGGAACATTTTGCATTGAAAATCTTCAGTCCTGAACAGTAAACAAACTAAAAGGTAGGAACTGTACTGTAATTTTTCACTATTGCAAGTTAGAATGATTCAGATTCAGATTGATGGCATTGATATGGCGGATTTTTTCAATCCGCAAATCCATCAAATTAAAACGGTAGCCAAATTAAGTGTATCTACAGAAAAATGACTAAGTAATACCTGGGGAATGGAAAAATCTTGGAGGAGGGGAGACAAATAAAATTATTTTTACAAAGCTTAAAAAGATATGTCGATTTTGTTACAGACATCTGAGACATGGCCAGGACCTACCAAAAAACTCATGGATATGTGTCCACCAGCTTTTTAAAAATCATTTTTTACTTTAATTTTTTTGATCAAAACATGAGTTGCGTACAGTTGTGCTCCACAATATGATATTGAAAACTTTGTATCAGTCAATAAAAGTCTGATTACTAGTACCTTGTAATGTCTTGTTTGAAAGTGTATTCACTATGTAGTATGGTTGTCCTTGCCTAAAAGTTTTACATTTAAAAAATGATAATAAAAGTGCTTGGAAAATAATATTACACCCTGAAAGAGGCATTTCATAATTGATTTTTATAAAACATATATTGAAATATCTTCAAATATACAAGTATTTTAACTTATTTAATTTTTCTAAACTTATGTTTATTTTATGAATAATTACAAATCCTGTTTCATAAATATGCTTAATATTTTCTTGGAATGAAATACAATATCATTGCCTAATTTGAATATTTTTTAATTGTGTTTCCAGTGCAAGAGAACGTCTAGATGATCAAAAGTAGTCGTAGTAGCCGTTCGATTCAAGTGACTTCCAAATAATTTATAAGAGGGGATAATATCACAATGACAAATCAGTTTTCAACATCTATTGAAAGATATTAAATAATCAGGTATAATCTTAGATCTTAAGTATAATAATTTTAACAATGGATCGTATGGTAGCAGAGAATGATGTGAGACAATGTCATGATGAACCAATTATCAAAGAGGAAATCAAGGATTCATTTGACAGTATTGCTACCAATGATCCTACCTTATTTGATATAATCAGCCACAATGATGTCAAACTAGAATTAGATTGTGCTGGTGGCCAAGAAGTGACTGCTTCGATTGACTATGATAAACTAAGTGTTGAAGAAGAGTCAGACTGTAAAGGTGACAACACACTTGAAACTAATGATGTCACCTTGCCTGATAGGACCAGCCCTAATGATGTCAAATTAGAATTAGATGATACAGGTGGTGATTCAGAGACTTGTGCAATTGACTACAATGAACTTAATATTAAAGAAGAGGCAGACTGCAAAAGTGATAATGTACCCTATTCTGATTTTGATAATCTACCTGTTCAGTTAGAGGATAGGGAATCAGATGTCAAACCTGAGCTTGGATGTGTAGTTGGTGATGATGTTTATGCTGCAAGCATTTGCACAGCAGAGGAAAACTCATTCAAATGTTATCATTGTGATAAATGTTTCACACATAAAAAGTATTTGAAACAACATGTAAAAATCCATACTGGAGAAAAACCATTTAAGTGTGATCATTGTGAGAAATGTTTCATTCAACAATCAAATTTGAAACAACATACCATGATTCACACTGGAGAGAAACCATTCAAATGTAGACATTGTGAGGAGGGTTTCACCCTACAACATCGTTTGATACGTCATATGAGGAATCATACTGGAGAGAAACCATTCAAATGTGAACATTGTGAGAAATGTTTCACACAACAAAAATATTTGAGAGAACATATCAAGGTTCATACTGGAGAGAAACCATTTAAATGTGATCATTGTGAGAAATATTTCACTCAACAATCAAATTTGAAACAACATATCAAGATTCACACTGGGGAGAAATCATTCAAATGTAAACACTGTGAGAGATGTTTCACACTGCAACATCAATTGCTACGTCATAACAGGACTCATACTGGAGAGAAACCATTCAAATGTGATCATTGTGAGAAATGTTTCACTCAACAATCAAATCTGAAACAACATACAAAGATTCATACTGGAGAGAAACCTTTTAAATGTGATCACTGTGAGAAGTGTTTCACACGACAACACAATTTGATATATCATAACAGGACCCATAATGGAGAGAAGCCATTCAAATGTAATAATTGTGAGAAGTCATTCAGTCTACAAGATGATATGAAACAACATATCAGGATTCATACTGGGGTGAAGTCATTTCAGTGTGAACATTGTGACAAATGTTTCACCCAACAAAATGATTTGAAACAACATATCAAAATGGTTCATACTAGAGATAAACCATTCAAATGTGAATATTGTGAGAAATGTTTTACAAATCAAAACAGTTTGAAACACCATATCTGGATTCATAAGAGAGGGAAACCATTTAAATGTGAACATTGTGAGAAATGTTTCAGCCAACAAAACAATTTGAAACGACATATCATGACTCACACTGGAGAGAAACCATTCAAATGTGATCATTGTGAGAAGTGTTTCAGTGAACAATACTATTTATTGCGCCATATCAGGACTCATACGAGAGAGAAACCATTCAAATGTGAATATTGTGAGAAGTGTTTCGGACAACAACACCATTTGACACAGCATAATAGGATTCATACTGGAGAGAAACCATTCAAATGTGATCACTGTGGAAAATATTTCACACGACAATACAACTTAAAAGAGCATATCAGGATTCACACCGGAGAGAAACCATTCAAATGTGAACATTGTGAGAAGTGTTTCACACAACAATCCAACTTAGAAAAGCATATCAAGATTCATGCTGGAAAAAAACATTCACAATGATCATTGTGAGAAATGTTTCAAACAACAATCAAATTTGAAACAACATGTAAGGATTCATATTGCATATAATGTGACCAATTTTTTAAGAAGATTTGAAATGGCATATGGAGCCATGTATTCAATTGTGAATATTTTGGGAAATGTTTCATTTTTGCAAACAAAGTGAATTGAAAAGACATACTTGGGAGAAATCATTCTAATGTGAACATGTGAGATTCATTTTACTTTGATAAGTCATTTGAGACAGCATTTCAGTGTTTAAGAACTTTGATCATTGTTTTAAGAATCACACTTTTTAGGTTGAATCAGAATCTTAATATGATTAGAACATTATACTGTTTTCTGCAAGTGGAGTTTACATTGAACCAATAAAATTATTTGATGATTTAAGAAATAAAAAAGAAGTAACCTTTGTTAGTTTTCATGTACGTCTGGCAGTTTTTTCAAATATCGTTACAGATATCACTTTCAAATTTTTAAACTTCAAACTTATGAGTGCATACAGATGTGGGTGAAAAATTTTGGCTAGATACCTACTTTCTGTCGGCCGTCAAGTCAAATGTTAAATAAAGCTTTAACATCTTGTTCAACTCACTTCATTCTACATTATGCTATAATTTTGTAAAAGGAAACCAGCAAAACTTTTTTATTGTCATCCGTTTTGGATTTTTCCATCCTAAAGTCTTGTCTGTAAAGTCTTGTCTGCGCGTTTTCATGTGAACCGTTTGGTAGATCAATTTCAAATTTTTAGGGAGATTGAATGTTCTTGTTTCAAAACTGAATATTCTTATTACCTTGTGAGACTCTTACAGTATCTTAAGCATGTTTTAAGAGTTGGGATGTGAATATCTTTTTAAATGCCCATGGGCAATTAGGATAAAATGACGGCAATTAAATGCACATAAGGGCACTTCATTGAGAATGGATTTTCTTATTTCCATTACTGTACTTCTCACCAGTTTTCTAAACATTTTGGCCACATTCCAAATAGTTATAGGTAGAGATGTCACAGAACAAAAAAAATCGAAATGGTTTGGTTTGGAACATTTTTTCTTCGGAACGCAGCAATTCCAGAATGGTTTGGAATGGTTCGGAACATCGTGACTGCGTGTATTAGATTAAAATAATTTGATCATCTAGGCCTATTTGGTAGCGAAAACTTCAAAACTCTTCAAAGAGAAGGAGTAAAAAGAACCTCTTTTGGTACAAAATATTGAAAGAAAAATGCTGTTTTGTGGAGATTCATGGGCCAGAAGTTGTGAAAGGGTAAAATGTCCTTGTTCCGGAACCGAACCGAAATTCTTAATTTTTGTTCTGTGTTCCATTCTGAGGGCATAATTTCGCAGATCGGAACAAAATCGAGTATCCATGACACCTCTTGTTACAGGGTCACTTTTAATAAGTGCCCATTGGTATTTGATTTGGTATTTTAAATTAGATATCTGTATTGACACTTAATTTAAAGTTATTTGCCAATTTGCAGTTTATCATTTATAAGATTTGGCATGACACTCAAAGGACACTTTAATACAAGTTTTTGGTCTCAATATGGTATAGTGGCAAACATGTACTTGGTTGTATGGATATAATGTGCGCATGGTGCGGATATTAACAGTCATTTTTTAAATAGTGATATTTAGCAAACTAAGCCATGTTGTGAACTCATTTATATTCAAAGATGATTTCAGGGTCCCCAATAAAAAGGAAATTGTGTATAAATAGGTGTCTACTTCATTCTATAGCGACACATCAAGCAATAATAGTCCCCGAAGCACATAATGTGAAATAACACAATGTAACAGCCTTCATTCTTTGTTGGTGATCGAGCTGACCTATCAATACAAATTGTATTTGCATTTTGAAAATTGAAAGATTTCTTTGTGATTTTATACAAAATGGGAAAAATTAATCGAAAATGTGCTGCCTCTATATATAAGCGGTGCAGATTTCCATAAAGTAATGATGTCCAAACCGCTTGTTTAGAGGTAGCACATATCCGATCAATTTTGTTTAATTCACATAGAAAGTTTATGACTTTCAAAATGCAAAAATAATTTATATCTACTGCAGCAGTAAATGGTGTTTTAAGGCGGCTATTTCAAATCTTTGCTGTGGAGAAAAGATTTATGCTTAGTGTGTCCTTAAAGAATGAAGAACACAACTATATAAAAACAAAATTTACCTTTTATTGGGTATCCTCAACAAAGGGTGAACATAACTTAGTTACCAACATCGCCTTAGTTAATTTAATCACAAATTCACATTCAAAAATGACTTAATATCCACATTTCATGCATATTATATATCCGCACCGCTTGTTTTCATAAAGCACAGTCTGTATAGGGTGATATTACGCATCAAGAGGCATTTCATATTGATTTTGAACATATTTTGAAATACAGTGCATCTTTTTACAATGTGCTACTTATACTATTAAAATGTCATCTAGTTAGCCTATTTTAAATATTGTTTAATTGTATTTCCAGTGCAAGAGAACGTCTAGATGATCAAAAGTACTCTACACTGATGTTCGATTCAAGTGACTTCCATGTGTAAATGATCAAAAATACTTCACACTGCTGTTCGATTCAAGTGACTTCCATATATTTCCACGAACTTATAAACATATAAGAGGTGATGATAGCACAGTGACAAATCAGTTCTCAAGATACTTTTGAAGACATTCAATATTCAGGTATAGTTTAAGATCTTAAGCATATGGATGACATGGCAGCAGAGAATGATACAAGGCAAGGTAATGAGGAATATAGTATCAAAGAGGAAATCAAGGATTCGTTTGATGAGGGTAGTATCTCTAGAAATGATGCCACATTGATCAGGATCAACCATAATGATATCAAACGAGAATTAGATTGTGCAGGTGGCCAAGAAGTGACTGCTTCAATTGACTACAATTCACTCAATATTAAAGAAGAGTTAAACTGCACAGATGATCTGTCTGATCTTGAAACAAATAAATGTAATGCACCTGTTCAGTTTGAGGATAAGGAATCAGATATCAAAACTGAACTTGGATGTTCTGTCGATGATAATATCTATGCTGCCAGTATTGACACTGGGGAGAAACCATTCAAATGTGAATATTGTCAGAAATGTTTCATGCTTAAAAAAGTTTTGAAGCAGCATATCAGGATTCATACTCAAGAGAAACCATTCAAATGTGATCATTGTGGAAATCGTTTCATCCAACAAAACAATTTGAAACGACATATCATGACTCATACTGGAGAAAAACCATTCAAATGTGATCATTGTGGAAAGTGTTTCAAACAAGAATCCACTTTGAAAGAGCATATTAGAATTCACAGTGGAGAGAAACCATTCAAATGTGAACATTGTGAGAAATGTTTCACCCAACAACACAGTTTAAAACGGCATTTTAGGATTCACAGTGGAGAGAAACCATTCAAATGTGAACATTGTGACAAATGTTTCACCAACAACCCAGTTTAAAACGGCATTTTAGGATTCATACTGGAGAGAAACCTTTCAAATGTGAACATTGTGACAAGTGTTTCGCAGAACGAAGCAATTTGACATATCATATAAACACTCATAATAGAGAGAAATCCTTTAAATGTGAACATTGTGAAAAATGTTTCACCCATCTAAATAATTTGAAACAACATAGCAAGATTCATACTAGAGAGAAATCATGTAAATGTAAACATTGTGAGAAACGTTTCATCCATCAAAAACATTTGGAAGTACATATCAGGATTCATACTACAGAGTTAGACTGCACAGATGATCTGACTGATTTTGAAACAAATAAATGTAATGCACCTGTTCAGTTTGAGGATAAGGAATCAGATATCAAAACTGAACTTGGATGTTCAGTTAATGATAATGTCTATGCTGCCAGTATTGACACTGGGGAGAAACCATTTAAATGTGAATATTGTCAGAAATGTTTCATGCTTAAAGAAGTTTTGAAGCAGCATATTAGGATTCATACTCAAGAGAAACCATTCAAGTGTGATAATTGTGGAAAGTGTTTCACACAAGACTCCACTTTGAAAGAGCATATAAGGATTCACAGTGGAGAGACACCATTCAAATGTGAACATTGTGAGAAATGTTTCACCCAACAAAACAGTTTAAAACGGCATTTTAGGATTCATACTGGAGAGAAACCTTTCAAATGTGAACATTGTGACAAGTGTTTCGCAGATCGAAGCAATTTGACATATCATATTAGGATTCACAGTGGAGAGAAACCATTCAAATGTGAACATTGCGGGAAATGTTTCACCCAACAAAACAGTTTAAAACGGCATTTTAGGATTCATACTGGAGAGAAACCATTCAAATGTGAACGTTGTGAGAAATGTTTCACCCAACAAAACATTTTAAAACGGCACTTTAGGATTCATACTGGAGAGAAACCTTTCAAATGTGAACATTGTGACAAGTGTTTCGCAGAACGAAGCAATTTGACATATCATATAATCACTCATAATGAAGAGAAATCCTTTAAATGTGAAATTTGTGAAAAATGTTTCACCCATCAAAATAATTTGAAACAACATAGCAAGATTCATACTAGAGAGAAATCATTTAAATGTAAACATTGTGAGAAACGTTTCATATATCAAAAACATTTGGAAGTACATATCAGGATTCATACTAAATCGAAACCATTCAAATGTGAGCATTGTGAGAAATGTTTCACCCAACAAAACAATTTAAAGCGACATATTATGACACATACTGGAGAGAAACCATTCAAATGTGATCATTGTGAAAAGCGTTTCAGACGCCAACACCATTTATTACAACATATTTGGACTCATAAGAGAGAAGTCATTCAAATGTGATCATAATAAGAAATGTTTCACCCAACAAAACAGTTTAAAATGGCATTTTAGGATTCATACTAGAGAGTAACCTGTCAAATGTGAATATTGTGACAAGTGATTTGCACATAAAAATAATTTGACATATCATATAATCACTCATAATGGTGAGAAATCCTT